AAAACAAAACAAGGAACATTTGAAAAAAAATCAGCAACTTTAAACCAAAATATTCTAAATTTCACATTTCTTACAGAAAGCAAAAGAGGTAGGAGTTTCTCTCCTTTATTTAATGTTTTATAAAGTTATCATTTTGGTGTTTCATTTTTATTCTGTACAATAAACTTTAATAAATCCCATGGAGAAACTTCTTATAATATTTTATATGATTTTATATTAATGTATATGAAATATGACTAAGAAATTTAGTAATTCCTGTTCTCAAAAAAGCACACACTATGCATTCCCTCATAACTTTTATGTTTTTACAGCTGTTTTATATCATTAATAATTATTTCTATGTCTCACTGTTGATGCAAACTGATTATTACCACTAGCAAGAAGGGCTCTTGCTGTGTAGCTCTGGTTGGCCCTTTATCACTATTTTGCTTAGGCTTGCCTCAAACCCATGGCAATCTTCTCGACTCAGCCTCACAAGTATGGGGGACTACACACCTGAGCCATCACAAGTGACTTTAGAAGAACACCCTTTTCCCTGGTCTTTCCTGTATGACTGACAAACACTTCATGACCTTTGTTTTGCCAACCAAACATTTTCTCAACAATAGAAAATATTTATTTGAATCTCTGATGTTAATTAATGGTTAATATTAGGGTAATATATTAGTATTACAATGGACTACTGAATAATAAAGCACATGATAAAAGCCTCAATAGTGCCAGGTGGCGATGCTGCACGCTTTTAATCGCAGCACTTGGGAGGCAGAGGCAGGCGGATCTCTGTGAGTTCAAGACCAGCCTAGACAGCCAGGGCTGCTTCACAGAGAAACCCTGTCTGGAAAAAACAAAAAAGTCTCAATAGCACAATCCAAATTTGGCCCTCCCCTCTACATACACATACCCTTTTAAGATATGGGGATATCTGAAGGGCTGTACATCAAATCCTAGGCATAGTTGCTTTTAAGTATATAGCTTTTGGAGTGAGTTACAAATCCTGTTCCCCTCCCCCTTTTTTGCTCATTTGTCATTCTATAAAGAATAGGATTAATGAAAATAAAACAATCTCTCATTTTTAAAAATAAACACTTCTGTAGATATCATTCTGAAACAGTTGTAGGGCCTGTGAAATACCTCAGTGGGGGAAGAAGTTATTTGCTACCAAGTCTGACGACCTGAGCTTGATCCTCAGGACCCACGTGGTGGGAGGAGAAGGTCGACGACCACAAGCTATTCTCTGCCCTCCTTACATGTGTGGCACACTTGCGTGCAAACACACACAAACACATAAATACATGGCATAGAAATAAATAGTACAATTTTGAAGCCAATATATAATGTTTTAATTATGTAAACTAAACAAACCTAAGTGAGAAATTTGGTGAATCGGTAACTTAAAAATTTGGCAGGCCTATACCAACGAGGAGACCCACACATACCTTCAGCTCTTCAATCTGCTGCTTGACGGTCTCAAGATCCGTTCCAATTGGAGTCATTGAGGCTAACTTATTGCCTGCGATATCAACCCAGTCAAATATTGCCTGAAAGATACATTTCCCCTGTGTTATAACAGTAGCTCCGAAATGGCCATGGGTCTGGTGTTATGGGGAAAGGCAATAACTAGAAGAAATTATAAAAGGCGCCTACTTTATAAAACTAAGACAGTTCACCTGAATAAAAGCTTTAATAATATAAGCCAGCTCTTCAAATGCCAAGTAAATGTCACCTCCAATTCTGCACCAAAGCTAGCCGAAGAATCCTATTCTTAAACTATCAAGCACTTTCAGAGAAAAGTTCATTTGAAAAAGTTTATATATTCAATCACAGAAGTGAAAATTCCCATTTGCTTATATAAAAAGATCAGGAGAGGATCCAAATGTATCAACTTATTCAAATAACCAAGAAGGTCACTGCGGGTCACCTAACCTTTCTATACTACTCAGGTTAACATTAAAATTCTGCACACACATGTGATTAAGATTATCATTACCATGAACTGCAACAGACTTCAGAGTCCACTAGTTTCTATATTCTTTCTAGGTTTCTACACATTTTACAAAGGCTGAGCACACATTTTTTTTTTTAAAGATAATGAACTGAATTAAAGGTATAACCAAATTATTTTACATTTTAATGAAGATGATGGAAGAAGAGAAACCTTATAAACTATCTGGTAATATTTAAATGACCATTAACCAACCCTAATTACTTAAGCAGCAACTTGGGAAGAAAATGCATCTCATCTTTTAATCAAGCCTTGACCCTTATGTAGTACCTAGCACCACATTATAGCTACAGCCATTTAGTAACCCAAGTTGCCATTTATAACCAACAAGACCTATGATGGACCTTATGTCTCTTGCTGTTGGTAAGGAGTATGTGTCAAATCATGGTGTCTTGCCCATGGCTCCCAAGTGACCTCACATAGTAGCAGTACCATCTCTAGCCATGGAAGACAATGCCACCCAGAATAATTACATTCTGATGCAGCCTTACACACAAAGATGGGAGCCCCAAGTGGCTATCATTGGCCATTGGTTATTTAAGCAAAAAATCGTTACTTTGCTTGGGGTGGGGTGTGTGAACAAGTATATATACACATGTACAGGAGTTATAATAAGGTGTTTTTTTTTTTTTTTTAAAGGGCAATTTATTATGTATACAGAAGAGGGCACCAGATCTCATCACAGATGGCTGTGAGCCACCATGCGGTTGCTGGGGATTGAACTCAGGACCTCTGGAAGAGCAGCCAGTGCTCTAACCGCTGAGCCATCTCTCCAGCCCCAATAAGGTGTTTTTTATCATGAAAAATTTCATGCATTTCCAAAGTCCCTTTCTGCTGAGATAAAGCCTGGCTGGTGACATTTATTTTTACAAATATAAGATGAAATGGCATAATGAAAAAGGAAAAAATGTTCTCATATGAGCTTCAAAAAATAATATTCACTTAAGTGTTATGGAAATACTTAAGAGAGGTTTTTCCACGCGGTAAGGAGTCTGGGAGATTAAACTCCTGCCAACCTGTTAGGAAATAGGACAAGGAGGGAGGAAGGGAAGAAATTTCCCTGAGCTGGCCTCAAGAGAACCCTAATATTAAAAGAACAGTTTCTATCTGGCTAATGAACTGAATGAGAACCTTGAAGAGACATGAGAAACAACTATTTTAACAATCACATATACGGAAAAAAGAAAGCACCTTGATACACCCAGTTATGAGCCAATAAAATAAAAATCTATTTTAGTACACAGAGAAAACACTGGCTTCATGTCAGGTCTCTTAATTCTGACTTCAGTTAAACTTGGTGGTATTTTTAGCCCATGTTTATTTCTTTCATTTTATTTCACTTTAGAAGAGAACTCAGACTCTGTTCCATGTTACCTCATTGCCTGGTGCTCAACCGTTTTTGAAAAATACTGTGTGGGAATATTTACTTTCGCTTAAAGAAAAAAAAAATTAGACTACTTCTTTTCAAAGTAAATTCCACTGATGTGTGCACAAATCCATGTTTACATGTACTTATAAATCCGTACGTCTGATAGGTAAGAAATATCTTCTAAAAAGGTTGAGTCAAACTAGCTGTGGCAATTACAGGAACAGATTTGTCTGCAACTGCACACACAGTCACAGGATTGGGCTGGCTGGTCCCAAAGCGTCAATGTACATCAATAAGTAAGATTCCTGTTTCCAGCTAAAATGAGAGGACGTGGCAACCACCTTACCTGCAATCCATCTTGGTACTGAACGGCAGCCTGCATGGCCTCTTCCAGTTTGTCAACCCGGTCTTTCCAAGCTTTATTTAGAGAATCCCAGGCTGAATTTAACTACAAAACAAAGGGTCCAATCCTTTGAGTGTCAAGTTTGTAATTTAAACTATTTGTGACACACAAATGTTAGTTGCTAAGTCTTGAGAAAGGCATTCTTATGAAAGTGGAAAACAAGTCATCGGTACCTCATCTATGCTTTTCTTGACAATGGGCTTATCAGGGTCCCCACAGGCAGCGATCAGCTCAGAGCCCAGTGTGGTGACCAGGTCTAGTTCCTCTTGCAGGCCATCAAATTCCTCTCTTATTGCCTAGAATTCAAAACAGAGCCTCAGAACACCATGTAAAACCAAACCAAATCCAAGAAAAGATGTCACACAGAGCTGGCACAGGGATTCCTAGGTGAAATTAGCATCATTTCATTTTTCTCTCATTTCTCAAGTTCTTATAGTCATCTTCTCAACAAGAAATACTTTAGAGAAAATAATATCCTCTAATGCCAAATCTTTACTAATAAAGACAAAATACCAGAGCAATTTAAAAAATACCCCAAATACGATAAAGCACAGAAAGACATTTTGTTTTTCACTGATAGTTTGCCTGTATGTTCTCAAAACAGACACCAGTAAAATATGAGCACAAAGATTTTATGCAAAGTAATGTATCTGCTGGGAAACTGAGGATAAGCGAGCTCTGGAGTTCCTTGTATGTCATCACCTTAGCCATCACCTGCCAACTGCTGGGATAGCACAAAAGCAATGAAGTGGCCTACCTTGCTTTTCACTGTCACGGTTAAACACACCCACTCAGCAGTGAATATTTAATAAGCACAAACAAAGCCCTAAACCAGACACTGGACATGAAAATGTCAGCCTAGCCTTCTCCAGGGACCCACAGCCCAGCAGGTAGTTGAGGTAAACAGACAAGACAGTAAGTGTATGGGGTGGGTAACAATCGAACCAAACCCTGAAGTGCATCATAGCGGTGGTGGCAGAGATGACATGCTGAGGTAAGGAGGAAGACTGTAAGGCACCGTGGACACTCAGAAGAGCACAGAGGAGGAAGAGGAGGAGCAGAACGGTGCCTATGGCCACACGGGGACCATCTGGTGTGTACAAAGCCGCACACCTGCCCTGCCAAGTCAGGGTCAAGCATGAGCAGTGTGGGTGCAGAGAAGAGATCTCCGGAACAATCTCCAGGTGGGATCTGCATGCCCATTATATTCTGGTACTCACGGCGCATCCCACGTTCAGAACTGAATACAAATCTCAACGGCATAATTTTTCAGTCACATACAGAGTCGGTGCTATCTTACCTCCGCTGCTTCCTGCTGCTGTTTAACTACTGAGGGGTCAATCCCAGGGTCTTCCAGGTCCCGGATGAAATCTTGAGTGTCTTTTGTGGTAACCACCAATGACATGTGGTCACACCAGAATTTCTCTGCCAGTTCCATAACATCCAGCAATCTGGCCTCCCTTTCTTCTACCATCATGTGTATGTTTTCCCAAATGAAAACCATTTGGTCCAGCTTGTCCTGCACGGCTACACAGCAAAACCATGTCAGCAAAGGTGCCGGTTATCGCCTTTTCAGTGAAAGCAAAACTGGAGCTCATACAGTGAGCAGTTACTTGATTTGCTAAATACACAGAACCAGGGACCCGGTTTTCACCAACTGCAGTCTATGCGTTACCACTGGGCCAACACCTATCACAAATCATGCAAAATCTAGGGGCCTGCTCCGGCTGAACCAAGACTTTTCCTTACCAACGTCGATGCTTAAGGCTACATGGGCTCAAGAAGACCCAAGTTTTCCGAGTTTTAAGTTCATGAACCTGGCCTTAGTCCCAAAGGCAGTAAGTGGTTAACCTAAGACATATTTTCTTACGCTCTCCAAGGATGAGACTGCTTGTTCAGTCTCAGGAATAGGACAAGGATGTGTACTTTTGACTTGCCTCTGGAATACTCTTATTTCTGCTATGTACACGCCCTTCCTTTGACTCACAGAGCACAGCTCTAACCTGAGTGGCTCTGGCTACCATTCCGGTGGTTATGGAATAGAGCAGGCATGCTAGAGAGGACACTAAACCTGTATCCCCAGCTTTGGCTGATTAGCATTAACTTTGCTCTGAGAGCCCAAGAGGCTCAGAGGACAGACACATGGTCTCCAGAGAACCACGTTTTGTCTTCAGCCAAGGGACCTCACAAACTGAGGAAGCCACCAAAGGACTTGTGTACAGGGCACATGGCCGTGCAAGCTCTTCGGAGACCTGGCAGTTTGCTCCACAGTCACGTGCACAGCAAACAGCGTACAAATCTAGAGCTGTTTTAAAAGTCTTGTTGAGGCCGGGTGAGGTGGCGTGCCCTCAATCCCAGCACTTGGGAGGTAGAAGCAGATGGGTTTCTGTCAGTTTGAGGCCAGTCTGGCCTACACAGAGAGCTCCAGGCCAGCCAGTGCTACATAGGGAGAGACCCTACGTCAAAAAAAAAATCAAACCAACCAACCAACCAACTAACCAACCAACCAACCAACCAACCAACCAACCAACCAACCAACCAAATAAGGGAATGCTGAATTTCCGCCATCGATCCAGAATGAGTACCTTTGGCAGAGATGTCTTTCTCGGTGCCCTCAGACCGGGCAATCATCTCCTCCCCCCTCTGCCTCAGCGTCTCATACAGTGGCTGCAGCTTCTCCATGTCCACAGACACACTCTTATTTTCACCAATCTGTTCCTTGATCTTTTCAACCTCCGCGGAGATGGACGGCGGCTGCCTCAGACGCTCCATGATGCGCTCCAGGCTCTCGAGGATCTGGTTGATCTTGTCATGAAACTATGAAAAACAAAACAAAACAAAACAAAAAACCCAATGGGGTCATTGTAACACCACCTGTAAAATTTCCCTCAGTTAAAGACTAAGGACCCTTTGCCAACATTTCCATGCAAAGTTACATCCAGCTGGGGTATGAAGCCTAAGGTGCACTTCTCTGTGACATTAAGAGAACACAGAGTTTCCCATCTATAATCGAATGTATTCATTAAGTATCGTTCCTTGGCAGCAATATGAATTTTAACCTGTTGCCTAATTTTACATTTCAACTTCTTTTTTTTGGGGGTGGTGGTGGTAAGTTGCACATTTTGCTGTCAAAACTGATCATTCATTTAAAATGATCATTTTGAAATCCTCAAACATTATACAAGTGCATGCAAAATTCATAGGTGGTTTTGGTTAGATTCAAGGGATTCCTTGAGTTATATATTTCTTGAATTTAAAAAAAAAAACGTAAAATTAAACAAAATAAAAATATGCCCAAGGTTGTATCCAAAGTTTGTATCTAATTCATGGTCAAAATACAATTAGAGATAGGAAACAATTAATTTTATATATGAAAGCATCATCCACAAGTTCATAAAACCATGTTTACTGTTACTTTTTCTACGAGCCTCAAAGGTGGGTGAGGCAACATTGTCCCAGGAAGTTTGACCTGTCAACTGACACATCCTAGAGTCATCTGAGAAGGAAGCCTCACTTGAGGGACTTCCCAGAGCAGACTGGCCTGTGGCCATGTCTATGGAGGACGGGCTTCATTGGTAATTTATGGAGGAGGGTCCAGTCCATCGTGAGTGGCACCGTTCCCGAGCAGATGGTGCGTGCAGGGCTGTGGGAAAGCCAGCTAAGCAGGGCCTCTGAGGAGGCCGCCACGCTGTGTTCCTCCCTGGGTTCTGTTTCGAGTCCCGCTCAGCTCCTTCCCTGCCATCCCACCATGAGGGACTGTGACCCGGAAGTGGAAGATGAAACAAGCCTACTCCTCCCCTGTGCTGCTTCTGACCAGAGTGGTTTCCCGCAGCAACAGCAGGGGCAGGCACGAGAACACACACTCAGGGTTACAGAAAACGCCACTCCAATGCCAGGGTCTAATGACAAAACCAAAACCCGACAGGTATTCAGAGTCAGCTTCTTAAAAAGTGGTTATTTACAAAAACTGTTGCCTACTTAATATTCTTATCTTTATTTATCTGGCTTATTGCTCAGGACCTCCTCTAAATGCCTTCTTGGAAATATTCTACCATTAACGACTGAAATACTTTCTTTTCTCTCCCCAGTGTCAAAGACTGTGTTCCACTTATGATGGACATGGGAGCAAGCATCTGACCATTGCTGCAGGTAGGGTTTCCTACTCGCTGAAATTTCCTTTTTATTGTACCCTGGAGCAGGCAGAGAAACCCAAGAGTTGGCTGCAAGCAAACACTACTTCTGAGAGAAAAGACACTATACTCAGAGACAATATAGTCCATACATCACTGAAGATGAAATTCATCAGAGCATCCAATGCTTTGTGTGCCTGGCTGTGCAGAAGAAATTAATTTTTTTCCTGGGTTACCTGAGTTGACTGGGAAATGGCTTCATCTAGTACCACGGCTCGTTTTTTGACATCTTCTTTAATTTGGCTGTAAAGGGTGTCGGCTGCCACATACTTTTCTTGGATATAGACGCCTTCCTTTGGGCTCAGTTCCAGTAACTGCGGCCCAGTCTTGTTCATCTTATCTATGTGAGGCTTGTGCTCGGCTATCAGTTCTCGCAGTTGCTATAATAAACCAAACAGCTTCTCAGTATCTCAGAGTCACACCTCCATGTTACAACCCATCCCACCTCCAATGCATGCAGCTGACAAGAAATGCTAAACAATGCCCTCCCTGCTGCAAGGCACGTATCCCTGTCTCTGCAAGGAGGAGAAAGTCCAACACAGGACGGGACAACTGTCCAGTCACGTGCCTTTTGGGACACAGAGGAAATGGCACTAAAGGAAACGGTGACTGTGCACGCCACAGCAAGAGTTGCCCATTTTCTTTTCTTTTTTGTTTGTTTGTTTTTTTTGAGACAGGGTTTCTCTGTGTAGTTTTGGTGCCTCTCCTGGATCTCACTCTGTAGCCCAGGCTGGCCTCGAACTCACAGAGATCCGCCTGCCTCTGCCTCCCCAGTGCTGGGATTAAAGGCGTGCGTCACCGCTGCCCGGCGAGCTGTCCATTTTCACGAGAGCATCATCAGCTGCAGCAGAGGAGTCTGAGCTCCTTGGCCCAGCCATGGCTTAGGGTGCTACTTTCCGCATATTCGTAATACATACGGAAATGACTGGGGGAGGGGACGTCCAGACTAGGAAGAATCTCAGTGGGGAAGAAAGACACAATACCAGGATTTAAAAAAACTTGAGAGGTATGACAGTGACCTAAGCCCACAGGCACTCCATTCACACACGTGTGAACCAGTATCGGATGCTCATATATGTTACATTATGATATATATATATATATATGTGTGTGTGTGTATATATATATATATATAAAAAACTTATTCCATATATACATGACCTACAGACACTAAATGTATCAATTCATTTCCATTAGTTAATTTATTACATTTATTTGTGTGTGTACGTGTAGTTACAGGTAAGGTGGTGAGCTGCCATGTGGGTGCTGAGAACGTAAACCAGATCTCTCTAGGAGCAGCAAGTGCTCTTAACGGCCAAGCCATCTCTCCAGCCCCGTTTGTTACTGTAAACTGTAAACGTTTCAAAGGTAATGGATTTATCAAACACACAATAGATGTTGAGCATTATTATAAGGCATAGTTAAAGAAAATGTGTATCCTAAGAAATGTAGCTTAATTGAGAGAGACCTGCTGTTTACATTGCTGAGTAGAGCTGAATTCAAGTGGAGTCACTCCTGTAAATCAGCTGAGGTACTGGGAGCCAGAACAAAGCTGGGACCTCTGAGGAGCAGTGCTTCCTGGGGCCACTCCAGAACCATTCCCACGGGAACCCTTTCTTTAAGAGTCTCTCAGGCCAGCCTCTAAGTGGAGGGCTTGCACTTGGCCCTCATCGGCAGGCCCTTGTCCTTACCCAGTGTATCCCCAGTCTCTTTGTACTACAGCCTCCAGTAGGAGCTTCTGAGAGGGCTGACACTCAGGAAAGGCAGTCTAGAGACAAGTTACAGGTGTCTTGCTGCTTTAAAGTTGTTCTGAAAGCCTACTGAAAACATTTCTACACACAAAGTCAATTATAAAAGTGGCATGTCTAAGCTAACATGTTGCATGAGAGAGCATGGACAAGCCACAGTGGCAATGCATGTTCTGGTCTAGATCTTACTTTCATTCTATATTCCTTGTGCTGAATCACAGACTGGAGGTGGTAATGGCTCCATCAGCCAAAACGAAATCACATGGTAAAGAGAGCTGACGAAGTTACACGTATGTTCTACTTTTGTATTACAGACGGCAATGCTTGAAAAATAACTCTAAACTCAATAGCCAAGACCCTCAAGGGAAATGCAAGGCCCTGGCTGAAGTTTCTTGAACTGCCTGGCCAGCTTGTCTGGTGGTGCTGCTGAGGTGATGAGCCTTTTATATGGCATCCTGTGACAGGCCAGAGAACATTTATTAGGTGTCTACTTGGACGTGTGTGTGTGTGTGTGTATGTGTGTGTGTGTGTATGTGTGTGTGTGTGTGTGTGTGTGTGTGTGTATGAACAAACAGCTTTTGCCTGGATGTGGTGTTACACACCTGTAATTCCAGCAGGCAGGAGGCTGAGACAGGAGGATGGTGAGTCTGAGGCCAGTCTGGATTACATAGGGAGAACTTCTCTCAGGGGTGAGGGGTGGGGAGTGTGGAAACCACATGCCTTTGCCTCACATGTGACCAAATAATTCTTGAGGTCATTGTGCTGGAGAAATCTCACATGACTTAAAGGCCTACAGCACTTGATAACAGAGCCTCTGGAGGCTATTATCATTTCCAGACAGGTCTTCTCCCTAATCCGTAGATCTGGACTTAGAAAAGAAATGCTTTTGGAGGGCTGCAAAAAACTATTTAGTCTGAACAGTTTGGAGACATATAAGGCTATAAGAACTTTGTCTTTCCCTTGATATATATGTGTAACCATGTGTTTGTTTTACAAGTTCAGAGATTATGCAAAAGAGAAAATCAATTCTATTTTTAAGATTTTAGCTAATGAACCATTTCTTACCACTAGGTGTTATTCTAAAAGCAGTTGTTTCAAATCACTTGTGATAGAGACGTTTATGGTCCATTTTACACTAAGAGTCATTCAATGAACAACGACCAGGATTCTGAGACAACACATCTTTATACTGGAATTGAATTCAATTCGACACCATTTGTAAATCTTTTGCTAGTTGAATGGTTTAGATGAGACTCTGTAAAAATTCAGTGTGGCCATAAACTGTTCTTCTAAGCTCTCATGTGAGTAAGTGCTTCAGCTAGACAGCCTTCCATGCCCATGTGCTAGGGAGGTAAAGGAACAAGATCAACGGGCAGGAGCCGGGGAAGCGACTCTGTGGATAAGAGCACTTGCTGCTATGGCGAGGACCTGGTTTTGATTCTCAGCACCCACGTGGCAGCTCATTATCTGTTTAGAACTCCAGATCCAGAGGATACAATACCCTCTCCTGGCCTCGGGGCGCCGTCCACACGTGGTGCAGGCAACAGACCCAAATATACAGAATAAAAGTAAGTAAATCTCTAAAAGAGTACTAAGTTCATCATATCTTCTACAAGATGTTGTAGCACGTCCTGGGTTGATTCCCACCCTCTCCTGATCAGTCTCTGACTTCATCATGGGCAGATCATGGACAACCGGGTTCTCAAGCCCGCAAACATGAAGAACTCCAGATCTTCTCCAGAGACTCGAACCCTCTCTCAACCAAACTCTTGTAAATGTCAAGTGATGTCAACAGTTAAGGGACGGCTAGAGGGGCGGTTTCATAATGCCAGAGTTCCACTTCCACTTCATATGATTAGGTCACCTCGGCACTGTCTTACATAGTGGAGGTGGTGACGGCCCTAGCATGGACTCGATGGCCCTGTCTCCTAGCCACCAGCCTATGTTGATACCTCAGCCGTTTCCCGTCTCATAGCTTTCGTGACACTGCCGTTTCGACAGATGCACGCCCGTGTACATTTCCTCCAAACTCAATGGCTGTGTATGTGTGATGGTTCTTCTGTACACCTCTACTCTACTTTTCCATGTTTTAGATGGCTCTGGGCACTACACATAAAGCACAGAATGTCTTCAACATACATGCACGGAACACGATTCAACATACATAACTGAAAGCATCTCAAAAGCGCATGCCACTAACATTTTAAAATGGTATTATTTTTCCTACCCAGACAGGTTGTAGTATGTATGCACTACCATATGAAAGTTGTGATGTATGCAGTGTGTGGCAGCTCACCAGCTGTGAGGGAGTGCAGACATCATCATCATCATCATCATCATCATCATCATTATTATTATTATTATTAAAACGCCCCGATTCTGTACGTGTCTAACAGCTCTTTACACACACCATCAACACCACTACCCTGGTTAGTGGCTCTCTCTCCAGCTCTCACCCGGTGCTCTTCCTGCTGCCGTCTCAGAGTTTCATATTCCAGGGCCGGGGCAGGCAGCTGGGCGATGATTCTTTGTGTTTCTGTCAGCCACGGCCAGAGTTCCTCATACGTCTCCCAGAACTGGCTAACGAGGGACTGTGCCCGCTCCAGCTGCAGGTGCCTCTCTGAGTTTATCTGGCAGATGGCATCATAGTTCTTCAGTATCTTATCCAGTTTTTTCTAGAAAACGAGATGAGGAAGGGTGTTGGCCTGGCTGGATGTTGTAGTTCAGGATGCTTTGACTAGTTCTGAACGTGTGTGGCACAGAGTAGGGGACACAACAAATGTACACGAGATAAATAAATAAAAGGAACCTGTTCACATGAACTGTTTCTGTGCACACACCCATGTTAAATTAAAGAGGACACAAGTATCACTGAATTCTTCAGACACAAGAAGCAGAATTCTCCAGTACTCTTACACTGTTCCCAGAGTTAGAAAGTAAGTTTCATACAAGTCTACCAGCATTGGCATTATTACCTGGGGGGGAAAGGAAGATTATCTTTTACAAATGAAATCATAAGAACAAAAATCAATTAAAAATAGAACCAATCACATGCATGGGAATCAACGTAGGCCACTGTGCTACACACTAGTGTTGTGAGGTATAGTTACCTGAGAGTGCAATGTGAACTCACAATAAAGTAAGAGGAGGAGAAAGGATAACAGCCTGATAAACTACAAGTCAGAACGGAAATTATTTCATGGTGATCTGTATTTTCTATTTCCGAATTCTTGAAAAAATAATTCTTAGTTATAGACTAATAACCTGCCCTTGTACAAATGAAAAAGAGAAAATATCATTATACTATACAATCTGTAATTTTATCTGTGGTCTACCTGAAAAGGAATGTATTTTATGTAAAATGTAATTTAAGGCATGGATGTCTGTATATCATTATTTGGGGTCATATACTTACCTGGAAGTATTAACACTTAGTCATTTCTTTAAGGTATTCAGATGTCCATTAAGGTTGTGCTAACAACTCCTACCTGTGGATGGTTTTCTACCAATCTGAAGAATTATTAAAACTACATATACCCATTGCTTCCTTAGCCATTAGATCACTGTTCCTATTGCCTTAGCGTAACTTTAGACAGAATGAAGATCTATGTGTTTTGGATTTTATTTCAGCTTAAAAGTTGCAAATGTTCCCGAAGTGTACGGCCCATAGCTGACATATCCCCTAAGCATTGTAACAGTAATACAGCTAATACTGATTAGATTGATTGAATGCTCTGTGTGTGTCTGTGTCAGTTAATCAAGGAAACTTTTAACAGCTCAGATGCATTAACACAGACTGTCCCGGTTTAAATGTAAGGATTCTGTCGCTTAAACAGCAGCTGCAGATAAAGAGAAGGTGCCCTTCCGGAATTCAGTGCTCAGTGGATGCTATTCATGTGAGGCTCACTGCCTAGCATATGGACAAGGTGGTACCTTCATTGACTGCTTTTCCTCTTCGCTGGATGTGGTCATGATTTTATGTCCAGATTTAACAAGTTCATCAACAATATCCTTGTGTCGCAAAATATCCATGGTGAATGCCTGTGATTTACCAAACAAAGACAAAATACAAAGTTGAAAATAGCAAGTTACCCTGACAGGGTCTTGGGAAGCAAAACCATGTGAATGTATTTTCTAGACTCGGAGCCTGGCGATGCATAACTTGGACAGCAACTGAAAATGTATTTCCTCACCTTTTGAACCTGCAGCTGAGCAGAGGTCTGGTCTTGCTCAAGCCTGATGTCACCCAGAGACATTAACTTCTTCTCTATTTCAGTAATCCAGGATAACTCAGCCTCTGCTGCTTGCTCAAACTAAACAAAAGATAATAATTAGGTCAGCAAGTTCCTGTGGCTGGTGCCAGAAGAATTACCTATTTACGTTGCTTCTAAATACTCCCTTTCCTAATTGGAGACTCTCGGTTTCTCTTTTCATAGCATGCTAAAATAAATCATGAGTGACTGAGTGAGAGAGCGAAGAACTCTGTCCACAAGCCCTTATGCCCTGCAGTGTGGTAACAGAGCATGGAGGCAAGGAGAGCTGGCTCTGTGGCCTTCTGCTCGGGCGTCTCAGTATCCAAACATAACTGTTTTAAAAGCTGACAATACGATACCATTTTAAGTTACTTTTTCCTGTGACTTCAGTTCTCAGATGGGTAGGTAGCACTGTGCCATTAAAGTCCCTGGCTCCTGATAAAAGAATGAAAGTTTCCCATTTCTTTATTGTATGTGCATATATATATATATGTATATGTATATATATACATATATATGTATGCATATATAAATGCATGTGCAAATAGCTATATCTGTGTATGAAGAATATACTCAAACCATTCATGTAAACATCTCATTTAATGCTGGACTTTAAACATGTACAAGATCATTCAGAAATGTTCCAGTTTATTTTCCTCGCCATAACATTAAATCATAGGCATGGCAGAAAATTTTAAAGCACAGAAAAATAAACAGAAGAAAATTAAAATCCACAGTTCATATTGTTGAAGTGGCTGGGAAAGTCAGACTTGTAAAATACCCTATGGACACTTCCACATCCGGCTTCTCTCATTTATTAGGAATATTCCCCACATTTTGTTTTTGACCTTTGTGTTCTCAGTGTCTTGCATCAGATAAACTCTTAGTGCTGTTCTGAACTGAGCAGGGATCAAAAGGTGGAGGAGTGATACCGTCACCCCCACAGAGAGATGAGAAGCACGAGAGCCTCAGCTGGAGGAATGGACGGGACGGACATCTCCTCAGCTGGAGGAATGGACGGGATGGACACTTCCTCAGCTGGAGGAATGGACACCGCCTCAGCTGGAGGAATGGACAGGATGGACACCTCCTCAGCTGGAGGAATCCAGCCCTGCCTGAGTGTCCCACTTCCCAAAGTGGGAGCAGAAGAAGACAATTAGGTAAGAAAAGACAAGGGTGGGGCTGAAAAGTAAGTCAGAAAATAATTCTACCTTAAAGAGTCTACAATGTCACAATGTAAACACACGGGAAAATGGAATAGATCAACTTTCCTCATCCCAAGGCAAGTAGAACGCCGGCATGACATACAGGACGCTCCTGCAACATGAGGAGGGAGGCAGAGCACCTTGGACCTTGGGTCCCGGGGATCAATACCCCAAGGGTGGTATTTCTTTGCGTCTCACCTACCCAAGATGAAGTACAGAACAAGAAGCCCCCCCACACCAATGGATACAGACGCAGCCCTGCAGAGTCCTGTTCTCCCTAGCCGAGGACACAGGAAGGGGAGGGGCGGCCTAGCAAGGCAGAAAACAGACAATACTCCCTCCATGTCAATGGAACGCCATGGAGGGAAATAGCAGCCCCCGTCACTCATGCCAAGAGGAGCAGCATGAGGAGCCGAGGATTTCGCCCTCGAGTCTGCGGCACTGTTTCTAATATCCCCTTCAGGATGAGGTTAAGCAGGAGCCCAAGCTCTATCCCCAGTGACTCAAAACTAAGTTCCCTCCTGCAGTGTAAAGGGAGGATGGTACTGTGGAGTCTGGAGTCGCTCTGTCGGGTAGTGATGAGGCACTCTCCTTTGCTCCACTCTGGTGGCGTCATGACAGACCAAGTGAAGAGACAGAGTTCTCCTCGTCACCATCATGGCCTCCCTCACGGTGCAGAGTGGGAAATGACCAGTCCCACACGACAAAAATGAGTCATGTGCCCTACAGCCCGAGGGAACCTGAGCTTTCACCTCCCCTGGCCACACTCCTGGTCACTTCTGCCACACTGAAAACGGGTACAGGCAGATGAAATCAAAGCTTAAATCCATATAAAAACTAGAAAGATTCATCTGCCCCTGCCTCCGGAGTGCTGGGATTAAGGGTGTAAGCCACCATGCCTGGTCAATATTGTTTTCTTTAAGGATGGATATTTTAATAGTTTAGGTTTAAGAACAGTGGCATTAACCTGATTAAGCTTCAATGCATGCTAACCAATATGAACTCAACTTGCAATTCAGCCTGTATCTGCTTCATATCACTCAACTAACTGAACACAGTCAACTGCTCAAGAAAACAGTGCACCCAAAGGACAGAATATTTGTCTTTTTACTCAGAGAAGGCTTTGGTGCCGGCCCGGAGATGTTCAGATAAATTTTAATGAAAAGAAAAAAGTCAGTATTTTAAAATAGCTGAATAAACTTCACAAATAAATATGCCCACGTTCCTACAACAATGCGGCATACAAATCCCTGAGAACTGTAAACTAGGCAGCAGGCGAACACATTCCTCAGGCATGAATGCCCCTCACAGAAACTTCCTAGGCAGGGCCTTGCTATAGCGGTCTGCCGTCAGCCTTTGTGATCCTCGACTATTAAAGTAAGGGCAGAGCATGGAGCTTTAGAACCTACAAATTACAGTTACACAATGCTAGAAAACCAGCTTTGGAGACTCTCTCTCACAGTCTGTCTGTGCCTCCTGCTTCTGCCTGGTGTGACTGAAGAGGTTAGCCACCCATCTCCCGCTTGAGGTACCCTACAAAATCATAGAGCCCCATACAAAGTTTGCCATCCAAACCTGATGACTTAATGTAAATAGCCACAGAGATTTCAACAGAGGCTTAACTATGCACAATCAACGTCTAAGCCCGCTTCACGGCCCACCATTTCCCACAGGGTTGTGGCTAACAGCAGAATTCTCTAAAACTTGGGAGTAGAAACTGTGTAAGCCACAGGCAGGTCAGAAATTATCATTTTTTCCCTTTTAGTCATCTTTGGAAGAAAATTCTACGTCACCAAGAACTCTTTCCTTTCAAAATACAAAGACTTTTTCTTGCTGTAGCAGCATGCCAGCGAACAGTTAATACTGACCTACATACTAATTCAAACTATTAACTTACAGATACATCAGGTTAAGTCTAGGCACTACGCTAGTATGAGCCACATGCACATATATAGATACAAAGCATTCGGTTTGGAAAGCAGGGCTTGCCTGTGTGTGGCAGAGTGCTGTCTATGACGTAATGGGGGCAGATGGTTACTGGCAATATGCAGATTAGCAGTGCCCTGGTGCTCAGACATAGCCCAGCAAAATTACATTAAAATCCCTGAGTTCATTTCTGAAGCACGGCGATCAGAATGGAAACGCAGCACTAGACATGCTTGTTCAGGTCAAGACCCTGGGCAGTTGGAGAACGTCTGTGGCCCAGAAAACAAGGTACTGGGGTCCTACCTGCTGAGACCGCAGAATGGCAGCATCGATCTCTTCCACTTTCTGGGTGATGGTGTCGCTCACCAATCGGTAGCGCTCGTTGTCCTCAGCTACCATTTTCTCGAGTCCTTCTCTCGCCCTCCAGGGTACCAGTTCCAACAAAGCGCCGCTCACTTCGTTAAGAGAATCCAGTAAGGCTTTGTTGCTCTTAACTTCTTTCTTCAGTTCCTTGAAAACATACGCACATACCGGTAAACGTCTGGGCAGGCTCTCCTCTGTTCTTGGGGGTCCTCTGCTGGCTGACAAAGCTGTACTTGGCCTGGCTAATTCCATCTGAGCTAAATAAACCTCCATGATGTGCAGCTATTTTGCAAAAATGAAAGTGTTTCCAGAGAAGTTTAGAGAACAGCTCATTTGTCAACATGGCAAGAGTGTATCTTTGAAATGGAAAATAAATATTTACAGTTTGGAAAAACAAGCCCAAACAAATTATTATGTAAGTGATCAGGTAACAAAAATAAAACAAGAAAGCTGTTGCTTGCAGTGAGGACGTGCTGGTGTCCACCACTGCAGCCTCAGAGTCCCTTCCACCCCTGTGGGATCTGAAAAGAATGCTTGGAGAGGCAGTGCATTTTTGTGATGTTGCCAGAAAACCCACCCGGGCTACCCATCTCTGATAGAAATGCTTTTCCAACCAAATTACAAATCTCTGAAACAATGACCATCTTCTCTTTCTGTTTTTCCTTCTTTATCATTCTATCTTGGGCAGGACACTCTATTTCCAGTCACATGAGTGTGACAGCAAACTCCACACTCCGTCTGAACAGTCACCTCACTGCCTATTTCCACCAGGGCCCACCCACCAAGACAACTATAACTGGGATCCTCACACATCCTCCCCGCAGGGGTAGCCGATGTGTTTGAGATGCACAGAGGCGTACTTTCTGTCTCTCTTGGACTTGGCTTGAGGCTTCTCCTTTCAGGGCCTGCGTCTCGTAGGAGAGCAACTCCACCTCCACCCTGTCCAGCCAGCTGCACAGCTCCTGGTGCATGGACTGCAGCTGTCTGGCGAGCTGCAGAGCGTGTTCCAGAGTCTTGGCTACATCGGCACTCAGTTTGGTGATGTCTTTGTACCTTGCTTTAATGGCTTCCAACTTATCCTGAATTATTAAAACTTCATCACCTAAAATTTCAAAAGATACAGGATTTCTTACAGACAGAAGGATACGAGGCGAGGGCAGAGGGTTTCCTGGGGCACTACTGATGATATGCTTTGTGGGAAAGAGGAGACATTTTTCTAAAGATGATCTGACCCAAAAGATGTGCTTACTTCCTCCCCAGGATGTCTAGCCATGGGATTATCGCTAAAAACAGAAATGTAAATGGCTACAGAAACCGGTTAGGTGCAGTGTTTTATTTACCTTACAAAGCTTTCTGTCTTCAAAGAGTGAGGGCTAAACTAGCCTGCACTCAGGTCCCTGAGAGCGTGGCCTGTGAGTGGGGTTACGTCAGGCAGGATATTTAACCTTCCTGTACTTGCTCATCATTACTCACTTTCACACTCCCGGGGATCTTTATCTGCCTCTACTTCCTTTTCAGACAGACATAAATTACGCCCTACGCTTCAGACTTCCAATTCAAAGTTCTAGATACTTTATCGCATGTCCTTAGCCACAATGAATGATAATTGCCCCACGCACACACACATTGCGGAAATAGATAAGGACTTCCCTACAGCCAAGAGAATTGCTAAGCTAACTTATTAGTTCTCTGAGTTGCTCAAAAGCCTCTCACGGAGGTATTAAGCCATGCATCTGTTTTTTTGGTGGCTCAAACTCGGAGAAATTAAACCTGTGGACTACGCGAACAAGCATCACTGCGATGCAGTCTACCCTAAAGCAAAGCAAACTGTCTAAGCTGGTGTCTTCACCAGTCTTCCAACAGTGGAGGATTAATATGGCTGGAGTACAGGCGTCTCCAACCGGCTCCTATGCCAAGTACTTTATGCTATGAGTAATACACACAGCGTCCACCAAGAACACAATGAGATCATGAGAAAAAAAGTGAGATCACATTTAAAGTCTCGACTGACCTTGAGAACATTCTGCAGGATGAAGTCTTAGAGCTGCCTCAAAAAGTAGAAGATGTTTTGTCTTCTCCCCCACCCCCGTCCTTCAAATACCCCAGAAGCACCGTAGGATGCCGTCTGTGGACAACGCGAGCCAGGGGCATCTCACCTGTGGTTTGCTTGAGCAGCTCTAAACCATTCAGCAGTGCCTGGTCGACATTCTGTTTCCTGAGGAGGATGTCTTCTTGCAGAGCCTAAAATACAGGCACCACTTACATGGAAGCAGGGGAAAACCAATTTAAATCAGCAGCAGCACTCATTAGCCTCAGGGAACTTTCACTGGGCTCTATGGGCAGATCTACAGGAACACCGGCCACTTTTTTTTTTTTTTTTTTTTGGTTTTTTGAGACAGGGTTTCTCTGTGTAGCTTTGCACCTTTCCTGGAACTCACTTGGTAGCCCAGGCTGGCCTCGAACTCACGGAGATCCGCCTGGCTCTGCCTCCCGAGTGCTGGGATTAAAGGCGTGCGCTACCACCGCCCGGTGACACCGGCCACTTTTAAATGTCCGTTTACCATCCCCCCCCATCCACCCACCCGTGTTCCACACCCCGGGCTCATCTACTATGATTTGCGGTACTCCCCTTTTAGAAGACACCGAGGGCCTTATAAAAATTGCCTTTGTGGGGTTACTGAGGTACTGGTTCATTATGGGCCCTTGAATACAACGGTAATCACATTGACTAAGCAGTGAAAATGTCGGCTAAATGGATGAATTCAATAACGTGTCATTAAAAGCATCCTGCATACACAAGAACGAGTCTATCGCGAGGATAATGAGTCATAATGGACATAAAATAACACACAACTAATAAAAATGAATAACAACAACTGAAACTTGAAAAAAAAAAAAAGATAAACGAAATAAATGAAGGTACCCGGAGTTCGGACTGCTGCTTCCAAAGCGCTTCAGCGCTGTGATCCTGGACTGAGAGCTTGCTCAGTCTGCCATGCACCTCGTTCAGCCAGTTCATCAGCTCCACTTCATCTTCCCCAAAAATCTTAGCGTTACACAGGGCCTGCTGGAGGAGCTCGGACCTGCTGTGGCTTTTCTCCTGAATCTCAAAGTACCACACTTGAGAGAAGTCTAGTTTACTCTGCACCATGTCTTTATCCTCCCTGGAGCTCAAAATCTTTAAGGACTGGCCAATGCTAATAGCCTGGTGCAAATGTTTATTGTGATTGATGATGTCATCTTCTAAAGCCTAAACAAAGTTCAAAAAGGGAAAACAAAACAGAACAGAAAGGAATGGACAAATGAAAATGTAAACAGAACCAAAAGGATGATTTTAACATGGATTTAGTGTTGCAATTATGCTTAAAATAGCAAACACATGACATATAAGCCATGGAATAAACGAAAAGCCGAGCCTCACTGACACGTGACATGTCTTACTTTGTGCTGTGCGATCTGCTCCTCGAGCTTTGGGGCCTGGGTTCCGATGGGCTCAGAGTTGGCCAGTCTCTTCTCGATGGCCGTGAGCCACTCATTCAGCGGTTCCAAGGTCTCGTGGAACTCCTGAGCTACCACTGAGATACCTTCCAACTGGCGGTTCCTGGACATTCGCAGAGACAGAGGTCAGTTGGGGAGGCAGAACATGTGAAATCGAAATCGTCAAGGAATGTTTCAGTCATGCCCCTCCAGTCTATTCTAAACGTGGCTTTAAAGAAATCAACTGAGACTAAGCTTTAAAACACAGATTTTTCAAGGTCATGTTAAAAGAGCTCTAAATAGCCGGGTGGTGACGCATACCTTTAATCCCAGCACTCGGAGGCAGAGAGAGGCGGATCTCTGTGAGTTCGAGGCCAGCCTGGTCTAAAGAGTGAGATCCAGGACAGGCACCAAAACTACATGGAGAAACCCTGTCTCAAAAAACAAACAAACAAAAAAACAAACAACAACAAAAATAGCTCTAAATAAGTAAGATTAAATAAGATATCAAGTACCTGACCATGGTAAAAGGTGAAAGCCACCTTCCCTGAGAATATGCATGTCAATTGTAACAATTTTTAAAGGCAGCAGCAACAATAACAACAACAAGAAGCTACTGGAGACACACTGTATGCTTGGTCTTGCTATCAGCACTCTGGATATGAACTTCAATAGAAGCGGCAGCCACTGAAGTTGTTCAGGGCAAGATGGTCAGAAGTGGATTTTAAAACTTGAAGAATTGTGACTGCTATTAGAAAAATACAACATTGAGTGTGTTTGTCAGACTACTTTGTGGCTTAAATGTCAAAAATAGGAGAGTTCCCCGGATTCATTCGCCAGGTGCAGTCCTTTCCGGAGCACACGGACGGCCGCAGTGGGGCATCCAAGGACCCACCGTGCTCCTGCCGCTGTTTTCCTCGTGGGCCAAGCTGCCAGTCCGCTGCTGAGATCTGGCTTCTGCCCTATCTTCCGAGCATGTTGACTTTTTCAGGAATAATATTATCCGGGAAATGAACTTCCTATGAAGCTGAGAGGAATTACAGAAATTGGCAGCGGGGACAATTTCCATGTCCTTTTTTTGGAGGGGGACAGGCTCTCATAGTCTCAGACGGCTTGCTATGTAGATCCAAGTGGCCTCTAACTCACAGATACTCACCTGCCTCTGCCTTCAGAGTGTTGGGATTAAAGGTGTGTGTGCCACCATACCAGCTCCATGTCATTGTATCACCAGTTGTCAGCATACAACATTTACAAATCTCCCCCCTTTATTCTGGCTCTGAAGAAGTAGGAATTGATGCAGTTATTTTACTGTGAACCCGATCGCTCACTCTGACTACTCTTTCATGTCGCTATTCCTCGTCAGTTTAAAGCACAGTAGCACCACTGCACGCAGGAGAGGCTGCACTGGTTGCCGTTCTGTAGTAAGAGCCGTGAGCAAGAGCCCGGGAGAGCCACATTCCGGCTCTACTGTCCTCACGGAGGGAGAGCATCACCCCGTGCTTCCTTCTTAACCACCTCCTCCCTGAAAACCAGGCCATCACTTCCCTGTCTCCAAACTTCCTCCTATTGCCTGCGTCCACCATGACATGCATTTTTCCTTTAAAGCATCACACCTGCCATCATTTTTCAACGGCCTTGGGTCTATTAGTCTGCACTCTGCGGGGGCAGAGGTGATCGAGCTCACCCTCATAACCCACCATGCGCCTGTGCCTGACTCATGGTAGGTAGAGAACGGCTGGCTGTGTAATACACAGATGAATGCATTCCTCTCAAGGGAAAGGCTTTAAGAATGAGCAGGGATGTAGCTGGTGGCCACACCACGACATCAGAAGAATGAGGAGATGTACACCACAACCCTTGTAGACATGACGAATACACAAATGTAGAGACGGGGGACTTGAAGGAAACCCTGCTCCAAGAGCAGCGCTGCCGCCTCCCGGGGAACATGGCGGTACCTCGCTTCAGCCCTGCTGAGCAGAGCCTCCCACCGGCTGTCCAGGAGGCTCAGCTGCCGGCACAGCTTCACTCTGTCTGCAGGTTCGGCCGAAGCGGCGATTTTCTCTCCTTCTCGTTTGATCACCTCCACCGTGGACTTCCGGTCTTCCAGTAGTCTTTGCAGAAGCTTCAGACAAAAACAGCAGCATTTTAAGAGGCAAAGAATGTTTAAATAAATAGAAAGTGTTTATATCTTATATATATTATGCACTTTTGCTAAGATATATATACATATATATATTTTGTATGGATCTACATGAAAAAAAATATGATTATTAGGGTTTTAAAAATAATCCATTTGGGGCCAGTGAGATGCTTCGGCTGGTCAAGGTGGCTTGCCACTGAGCCTGATGACCTGAGTTTGATCCCTGGGACCCACATGGTGGAAGGGAAGAACCAACTCCTATAAGTTGTCCTCTGACCTCCATTCACATGCACACTGTGACACACGCAGACCATATAAATAAATAAATGTCATTAAAACAAACTTCAAAAAGGAAAGAGAAAAGCATTTGGTTGAATGATTAGCTACTGCAATGCCAGGCACTGAGGTGTGGCTTTCACAATAGACAGCTCTCACAGATAAGGCCACTGTAATCTTTACAGAGGATAAGCACACAGGCTAAGCAGAATGAGCCACGGGAAAAGTAAAACATCCTCCTTACTTTCATAACACAGGAATGCCCTAAGCATCCAACAGTTATCAACTCTGCCAAAATAAAAGAGTTCCATAAATCACGAGTGTTTTCAAAACGCCTTCCAACATGGAACAATGCATTACAGGCAGGCAGGTTACCATCAGGTCAAGTCCACAAGTCAGAGGCTGCATGGGAGGCTTCTGGCCTTCCACGGGGCAGAAGCAGCATTTCAAACCCCACATGAGGATGAAAACTTAAGCAGAGCTCTCAGACACCCCAAAAGAAGGGAGTGTGGGGTGTACTGGGAATTTGAGAGCAGCCAAAAAGATTAAGATTTCAAGACTTAGCTGTTAACAGGAAATTCAGTTTAAATCTAACTGAAGGCAGGACTCAGGGTCACCTTGCCCTAACTAATCAAAACAAATCATCCCTGAGCAATGGTGTGTATAAGCACTGTGCTCCAGCAACGAGGTGCAGGAGCTCCACCAGACGGGCCTCTGCTTCCTTACTCTGATCCTGAGAGACAGTTAAGGAATAAGAATTCAACAGTTACCCAGAAGTAACATGCTAGAAGAACACTCTGAGATTCAGACCACCAAGCAGGGGATTAAGGGGAATGCATGCTTCCAAAGGAGGATCACAGATGCTCTTGACACGGTTCAGGACATGGCGTAAACAATAATGAAGTACCAGGCTTAGGTAGCCAGGAGAACTAATTGGATACTTAAAAAAAAAATTTACATTTACCGTGTGATGTATGGTGTGTGTGTGTGTGTGTGTGTGTGTGTGTGTGTGTGTGTGTGTGTGTGCGCACACTTGTAGAGGCAAGGGGACAACCAACTTGGGGGAGTCAGTTCTCTACTGCCTCCGTGTGGATTTTGAGGACTTTTGGTTGTCTGGCTCATTGGCAAGCCCTTTATCCTCTAAGCCAACTTGGTAGCCCAAGTTGGCTACTTTTGGTGAACCGAAACAGCAAAACCTTTGGCAATTAAAAAGACAAAGTCAACAAATGGATTTTATTGACTAAGCGTCATTAACTAACCCTGGGAGAATAACTTAAATTAGTTACCAGTAGCAGTTATATAATTAAAAACCAGACAGATACAATGGGTTTCCAGTAGGTTTCCTTAATCCTTCTTTTCTGCTGTCAGTAAGGAGCCTGAACCAGCGTCTCAAGTATCCCAGGCAACTGCACTATGATTACGTCATATCCCCAAGCCGCTTGTTCATGTTTAATTTCCAGACAGGTTCTCACTGAGCTGCTCACTAGGCTGTATTTCTGCAGGCCGAGAACCTGTGACCCTCCTACTTCTACCTGCCAAGCAGCTGGGATTATAGGCCTGAGCCATAAGGCCTGGCTTTATTTCTCATAGAACTTTCTAATTGGTTAAAGTTTTCAGAGAGTTTTTAAAGAGCTGATACAGAATATAGAATTAAAGGAAATAGTACATTGTTAAAAATCCGGGGCCAAGGTAAAGGCTTTAAAAAAGTTTAATCTAGCAAATAGTGTATGTATCTACAGGTTACAATAGGATGTTTTAGTACATGTGTACATTGTAGAATGATTTAATAAAACTAATTAACAAAGCTAGTACTTCCTCTGCGTACAATTTGTGTATATGTTGAGAATATTTAAAATCTTATTTTGAAATATACAATAGCCCAGTGGTAAGGCACTTTCCTAGCATGGTTTAAGTCCTAGGTTCTTACAAGTAACTCGTGGACACCACACACACACACACACACACACACACAGAATATGCATTATATTCTTATCATTATTATTATCATCATCATTATTATTATTATTATCATCATCATCATTATTATTATTATTTATGCCTGCTAACTAAATTAAACCAGGGCTAGAAAGATAAATTAAAACTTGGTTAAAAGGGTTGGGGAGATGGCTCAGCAGGTACACGTGCTTGTTCTCCAAGTGTGAGGACCTGAGTTTGAATCCCCAGGACACACATAAAAAGCCAGACAGGACTGCATACGCCTGCAATCCGAACATTCCCCAGTGGGTGGGTGGGGACAGACAGACAAAGAACCCCGGGCCAGCCAGCCAGCCAGCCAGCCAGGCTGGAGTGCGAGACTCTGGTTCCGTGAGAGACCCTGCGTAGAGGAAACACAGTGAGGTAGATGAAAGGGAGACACCTGATGCCCTGTGCCAGCCCTCCATTCATGTACTCACTTGCACACCTCACACATAGTTTTGATTGAAATTTTTATATGTAACGATTAATTGAATTTCAAATAATCTACTCCCCATTTAAAAAGTTACACAGGAGAAACCTTACTAAATACACCACGTGTTGCTATGCCTTTTCCTGTGTGTCATTTCAAACATAGCTGCTACATCACTGGAAACGTCATTAAATGCTTCACGTCTGACCACTGCACCATGACGAACCCAGTACTGTACATGTTGTCTCGGGCAGCTCGCTGTCCATCAGCATCAGAACATGCGGCAGCACAATTCCCAAGCATGTGTGACCCGAGGATTAGCATCCTAAGTGCTACTGCTAGTATTTATTCTACAAAAGGACAACTCGTAGGGATAAATCTTATGTATCAGAGAGCAACGATATTTCTGTCCAAATGCCACCTGGTCAGTGAAGGGGTTCTTGGCTGTGGCTCCCAGCATCCCTCTACTCCAGGGCTTCCTGCCCTGATTCCTGGCTCTGTCACTTCCAGATTCCCACCTCCTCATCCCTGCTTTGAAGTCCCTCTAGGTGACATACTGACTTTGTGTATTGGCTTTTCAGAGCCTTTTTTCCCCCTTAGACTTTATATTCAACAAGGGACTCTTGCAGTTTTCATTCAGGGCTGCATTTCCTGCAGCTCAAACAACGCCTTGGCCAGAGTAGGCGGCAACCAGTAGGTGCTGGTTGAGCAGCTGACAATATCCAAAGAAACAAGAAACCGTTACTATGACCTCCGATTAGCATAAACAAGGAGGTACACTTATTGTCATTTTAAAGATTTCATACGAAACCACATGAAAACATCACTAATTTACCTTTTGCTCTTGTATCTGGGCCTTCACCACTTTGAACTCAGCGGATGGAGGCTTCTGATTGGCCACAAGTTCCTCGGTGTCTGCCATCCAGCTGAGCAGGGACTCCAGGGCGTCCTGGAACCTCCCACAGTGAAGTAGAGCCTCCTGCAGCTGGGCTGCTCTCCGGGCCACCTGCAAAGTTCCAGTTGTTTCAACTTATTTACCTGTTTCATTAAAAAACGAAGGAAGGAAGGAAGGAAGGAAGGAAGGAAGGAAGGAAGGAAGGAAGGAAGGAAGGAAGGAAGGAATCTGCACACTAGACCCTACTTCTCACAATTATTTCCTAACTTGGCCACATACATTCCCCTTCCCTCCCTTTCCACACGTGTATGTGTGTGTGTGTGCAAGGCCAGAAGACGGGCTTTGTATGTCTTCTATTACTTTCCACCTTAATTTGTGAGACAGTGTCTCACCAAACCAACAGCTTGCCATTTAGACAGGATCCGTCAGGATTCCACCTGTCTCCATCCCCCAGGGCTGGGGCTACAGGTCAGCGTCACCTGTTTTTAGGTGGGTGCTGAGGTTAAACTCAGGCAGGTACTTTACCCACCATCTCCCAGCCCTTTTCTTGGTTGTGTGCGTGTGTGTGTGTGTGTGTGTGTGTGTGTGTGTGTGTGTGTGTGCCTGTGTGCGCGCACATGTGTCCTATGGTGCTTTCCCCTCTGTTCACAACAAGATGCCATTCTTGGACTTTGCCACTGTCGCCACAGTAAGCAGAGCACAACAATACAGCGGCAGCCAGGTCTGTGATGATGGTAACGGAGCTATGGACACTCCCTAGGGAGGTCTGGAGATCCTACTTGGGGTCCCTCCTACTATGGCAGCCCCAGCTGCAAGTGATCTTGGGTGATGCTAAACTATATAGAAGTGAAAGGTT